CCCCATGGATACGTCTCGAACCTATCTAGATCGTCCACCAAGTCTAGCCACCATAAATCGATGTATGTATTCTCCTCCGTAGCCCACAGGACGTATGCCAAGATTACAATCAATCCTAACTTATACTTATCGCTCTTTCTTTTCTTGCAAATTACAAATGCATTGTAAGCATCTCCCTTCGTTATCTTCCCCCCACTATTCCTAAAATACTCTTTCACGATCCGACACTCTTCCCCCAAGGTCTTATCTACGTCGTTCTCATCACCCGCATTTAAGCCGGTAACTAAAATAAATTCTTCCAACCCAAATTTTGTATTTTTCTCTCCTATCTTAAACCAAACTTCTTTTTTGTTGGTCCTTAACTCTCGCAATAATAATTGATGTATAACTTGTGAAGCCAACTTTATATCCTTCAACCTAAGGAGAGATCCAAAGCAGCTTTCACTAAGTTTGTTTCTGTAATTTGTATCAAGCTTCTCATATACATCTTGCACTATCTGCAATCTGCATCTCGTCGTGATCGTAGCATCTACTTGAAGAATCTTCTCCATAGCACTGCAAATTATAAAATATGTACTAATATTAGAACTGATTATAGTAAAGCACATAATAACAAATATAAAAACTAGAAATATTAAAACAAGCTACCTAGTTCTTCTAGTTTTTCTTGTAGTAGAAATTTTTTTGAATATGAAATTTAATAGCATGTATTATCATTGCTAACAACAAAGTATATTTTATTTGATATTCACTTATTAGGCGTTCTTAGTTTATGTGCTTTATAGAACTTGTAAGTACAATGCATTATAAATTGTGTATAATGATGAATATATACTTCTTGTTTGAAAGATCAACGTGAACTCAAGAAAGCTCTTAGAAGAAGAATAGGCAAAAAAAATGACATTACTTGATATTGCAAATATTTCATCTGATGCAACTTTATTTGTAGACTTACTTTCAAATGTATTGACAAATTCAGAGCCTTGACTTTGTATTTATTTAGAATGAACCTCAACTTAGTGATGTTGCTTCAATAGATTAGTTCGAGTGGAATGACAATCATGAAAATAAAGTTAAAATGATCTATAATTCAATGGTGTAAGACATTTGAAGAGCGGTGTGCTCAACAATGCAAATCAAAATTTGGATCGAGGAGAGCAGAATGCCAAACATTCAAAGAAACTTTTTGTGTACAGATAATACAATTTTCATACAAAGAGGCAAATGAATATGTTCAAGTAAGAGATGCACTAAATTAAAGGTATAAACAAGAGCAATGAGCAGATTACATCTCTTCATCTTATCAGTCTTTAACATTTAACTAGACATAAGATCGAGTTTAATTTTTCAATTTAGAAGATCTTTGACAATGTCTGTGATGGTAGAAAACAGGTTTGTGGTATGATGCATGACAATCTCTAGGTGGATGCAACCTAGTAGCAAATCTAAGGGTATGGTGCAGTTCAAAACATTCTAACTGAACAAACTAGTCGAACTAATTGCCAGGGATGAACACATTCTTAGGAATATGATCTCCATCACAAGAATGTAGAAAGTAGTTTGTCTCCGTGAATTTTCACATTATTTTGGTTCGAGATGCAGAGTTCATAGGACACTTTTGGCAATGTCTTAGAATGTATATAATCAGCTCGATTAAAAAAAAACAAAAAAAAACAAAAAAAAAAACCCTATTTTCAGTTGCTAATTAATCACCCAACATCCAACAAAAAATAGTATCAAAACTTCAACAATTCATCATCAAGTCATAAATTAGTATACATATACAAATATATCTGTTCATAGCAGAGAAAAATTTGAGAGGGGCGACAAACCTGTGAGTGGGAGATGGAGAGGCGAAAAATTTGTTGTAGATAATCTTGTAAGAATCTTGAACTTTTGAAGTGGAAGGAAAACAAATGATGAGTTCAAATGTCGAAGATGATGAATTTGAAAGAGAAGAAGGTTTTTAATTTGGAAAAGAAGAAGTTTGGAGCCAAGGGAGGTTTTCACGTGATGAATGGTAAGAAATCCCCAATTCTTTCTTCCTTCATTTTCATTTTAGAAGATAGGGTAAAAGGGTCTTTTTGATAGTTTTAAATATTTAAGATTTCTTTTATTTTATTATTTTCGGTCAAAGGCCTTTTGAACAGATATGATTTCAGTGGTGGCCATTCCAACTTATTTCCCCATAAATAAATGTAGTGAGTATGTTCTTACCAAAACCAAATGCTTGAATTTTGCATTATACCTTCAACTTATTCTAATAATGAGCTGGTTACTTTGTTATGGTTACACAAATAGTTCTCATTAATCTAAATCAATGAAATCTTCGTCTAGTCGTCAAGTAAACTTACATATACGATTTTATAAAGAGAGATCTTGTTTCTCAACTTGTTTGTGATGGTAAAAAGTCTAAAATGAAATTGTCTCATGAGGTTGATGATTTAGTAATCATTCGTTCGAATTTGATTATGTAACTATAATGAACTTTCTATTTAAACAGTTGGCAAGGAACTAATAGTACAATTTCTTAAGAAAAATTCAAATTTGTCCAAGCCCACGAACGAATGAGGATGCAAAGTGTGTCGCTTCTTCCAGAATGGATGGAAATCCCAATTCATATGAAAAGCAAAGCGGGAATTTTTATTTTTATTTATTTATTGCTTTGCCACGTGTTGCCCTGCCTTGGCTCTTTTTTTTTTTTTTTTTTTTATGTTATTAATTTTAAACCTTTGTTTTTTTTTTTTTTTTTTTTTTTATGTTATTAAGTTTAAATATTAAAAATAAGGAAATTGAAAAATAGGAAGAGAAATGGGATATTCTAACTTCCGACTCATTTCTTGAAAATACTCTGGTGATAGGGAGGATCGTCTTGCTCCATTGTCATTCCTAGCCTTGATGTAATTGTGTCGATCATATAAGGGCCCGTTTGGCATAATTTTTGCTTCTTGTAGAAAAACTTTTGGATAAAACTACCTGAATTTTTATTTAAGAACTAATATTTAAAAGTACTTCTTATTTCAAAAGTGCTTTTAGAGAAAGCCACATTGAATCAATTTTTTCTAATAGCTCTTTTAACTACTAGAAATATCCATACCTATTTCAAAAGTGATTTTAGAGGAACTCACGTTCCGGAGTCTCATGAAATATATTTTTTAAATTAATTATTGATTTTGACGCTTAATTTCTATCAAACATGGGCTAAATATGCCACAAATCAACGGTAACCATTTTTTTCTTTGATGTGGGATTTTGATATCGTATCATTATCATAATCAATCTTCAACTTTAAAATCGATATGTCGTATAAATACAACTTGTGTACAAATTTTTTGTGTTATTGTTGCGTATTTCAAATACTAGAAATATCTACTCATTATGTGCATGTCTAATCAGGGGCGGACCTAGGCGACTTGGGTTAGGAGGTCAAAAATAAAATTTATAAGGTATCTTCTAATAAAAAAAAGCTAAGCAAAATTCCAACCCCCTGGTCCCCCTCCCAGGTCCGCCCCTGTGCCTAATATGCAATCGAATAAGACTAAGGGCCCGTTTGGTAGGGATTTTGAGAATTGATTTTTTGACCGTTAGAAGAAAAGTGGGGTCCACATGTGAGAGAAGAAGTCAAAAATTACGGCTTGAATAGTAAAATAACGGTCAAAAAATCAATTTTTTGGGGCAAAAAATCCCTACCAAACAGGGCCTAAACAATGTAATGACGGTAAGAATATCTTACTCATAAGTCATTAAGGGCCTGTTTGGTAGGGATTTTTTGCCCCAAAAAATTGATTTTTTGACCGTTATTTTACTATTCAAACCGTAATTTTTGACTTCTTCTCTCACAGGTGGATCCCGCTTTTCTTTTAACGATCAAAAAATCAATTCTCAAACTGGCCTAAGTCAAAAGGAGTAAGACAAAAGAGAGTTGATGCTTTTATTATAAAAGAAGATAAAGAAAGCTCAAATTGGAGAAAGGTGCTTAATTCCTACGTCAACGAGATCCATTCTTACTCAAAGTCTATCGGAATTAGAAGCAGCCTCTAATTTTGCATAAAATTTTCAAGCTATGCTTCTGTATGAACTTCATTTTATTTAAAATGTATTTTTTTCTTTTCTTTTCAATCATACATGCTTCAATAAAATAATATTACACGTAAATTTAAAATTTTTCCTCCTTTTCAACGACACATTTTTAAAAAAATCACTATTCCAAAATATATTTTCCCCCAAATTTTGATTTTAATGGAGCCGAAACTACTCTCATAGCTCAATTTAGAGAAAGGAGCGTAATTACCAGCGATATCAAGCAACCTTATCGTCTAGGCTCGAACAGTTTGTTGCTAAATAGCTACGAAAATAGTCGTCGGTATTCGCAAACAGATTTTTTTTTTTTTTTTTAACCCTACTTTTTGTGAGAGGATTCTAGTTCATCAACGGTGGACCCAAACTTCATCCATTTGAAGAAATTTCAACCATACCCTACCATATGAAGCTCCATAATTTCAATCACACTGCAAATAGTAACATCCTCAATAAAGAGGGACATACGATACAATGATGTCAAGGGTAACTAGACAGAGATATTTTCTTGTACCTTTTTTTGTTTTTTACCCCATTTCAGAGAATTCCACATGATCATACACAAAAATTGGAATCTAAAGCAAAATAATGAAGAAACAAGAATTGAGAGAGAAAAAGCATATAGATATGGGATTTGTTTTTCGTTAAAACTCCTCATTCTGTTTGATTTTATTTCTGTTTTCAACATATGAACATTTCATCAACAAAACAAACCTCCCTATATATGATCAAACACTAAATTCAGAAAAGAAAAATGTAAAACCCAATCCATGCGTATTACTGGATCGAAACTACAACTGAAGCATAAGTTCAACGGCTGCTATCGGTCGATAGAAAATTAGGCGAATTCAGTTTAATGCTGCTATTGTCAATCTCACATCATGGAACAGCTCGAGGTGTTTTCATCGCTGAACATTGAGTACTGGTCTGGTTGTTCGCCAGGATGTCGAGGGTACGGGTAAGGAGGGTAAGGTGGCATGTAACTGACCGCAGGTGGAGGTCGGGCGTACATCATTGGTTGAAACCTTTCATTCCCATTCGCACGTTGTTGGTTCATCATCATTGCCGCCAATTGTTGCTGGTAATAGGGGTTCCCGGCCATGTGCTCAATGCCCAGACCTTGGAAACCACCACCACCATTCATGGCGGAAGTAGGAAGCCCTTGGACAGCCGGAACATTACCCATTTGTGGATTATTCAGTGGTCTCATTTGGCCCATGGGCATATTCCCCATCTGGCCCATGCTACCACCTGCATTCATAGCCATCATATTTGGCATAACATGGAACCCATCATTCATTCCATTCCCTTTCTTCGCTCCGTTAGCACCACCACCATTGACATTGTTTCCGTTCTTGTTCTGGCCACCATTGCCACCACCGTTTTTCCCATCTTGTGGTTGAGCACCACCATTCTTGCCACCCTTTCCACCTCCTTGATTCTGATAACAGCTGTTATTATTTCCATTACCACCTTTCTTGCAGAAATTCGCACCACTTTTTCCATCATTAGTTCCACCAAAATTCACCTGCATCGGTATGTTTCCAGCACCACCACCTTTTTTGGCATTTCCACCGTTGTTACCGCCTCCATTAGCATCACCTTTCATGAACTGGGGGTGCTGCCCCTTCATCATATTATTTATCATCATCTTGCCATTTCCATCAGCATTTCCTCCGTTATAACCTCCATTAGCACCACCTTTCATAAACTGAGGGTGCTGCATGTTCATCATATTATTATTCATCATCTTAGGTATCTGACCACCCCCATGGCCATTGCCCATCACGGGTTTCATCTTATTCAATGGAACGTCATCCATTTCATCATCAAACTCATCATAATCCGAATCGTCAAACTCATCATCATCAGATTCATCAATCTCAGGCACGTTGAATTTGACAGACTTCTGGTTCTGGTCCTTGGCATTGAAAGGCATTTTCAGATCTTGAATCCCTTTCAATTGTTGATGCTGTGGATTTTGACCACCTTTTGGCTGAGGATTAGCTCCTTTCTGATTAGGGTTCTTGTTACTTTGACCTTTCTCGTTGCCAATTTGCAGGTTCTTGAACTGATTATTGAGTTGATTCTGCTGATTATTGTTGGCTTTTGGCGCACGCCATAACTCTGCATATTTACCCCTCTTTGCAAGCTTCTTGATTAGTGTGGTTGGATCAACATTCCCAGACACAGTCACCTTGCCTTGCTCTGCATCTATGTTTGTGGTGTAAACCCCTAACATGAACACAAAATATTGCACAAATTTCCGAAATTAGTTGAAATAAAGCACATTATACACCCAAATATACGTCCACAAGTCTGTTCGACTGTGTAGAGCCTAATCATACTAGTCAAGTCTGTTCGACTGGGAAGAGCCTAATCATACTAGTCCCCTTTCGACCGTGACAAGCCTAATCTTCCTGTTTGGGGGCTTAATTTTACTATATTAATAGAAAATTAATTTCACAAGTTATGGATATGCAGAGGGCTACAAAAGAAATATTCAGAATATAAAAATGGAATCTTGAATAAAGAAGTATACCTTCAATTTTCTGCAAGATCTTCTTCACTTTATGCTTACACCCATCACAGTGCACATTTACTTTAAGAACACAAGTCTGCAAGTATAAGCAAAGCCGAAGAATGAAACAAAGGGTAAAGTTAACAACCACTTATAAGTATTAATCAAAATTGAAATGCATATTACCTAAAGAACAAGATAAAGATAAAGAAACAACAAAAATAATGAGATTTGGAGATATTGAGTTCATAGAAGCAAAACCATAAAGCAAAAGAGCATTAAAAACACCCACCCAACCACCTACAAACACACACTAAAATGCACACATTTTATGACAATGAGCAAGAGAAACAATTACCTGAATCTTCAAGAACTCTTCTTTACTCATTTTTATACAGTCAATCAAAACAAACAGATATGATAGCAACACAATGAGGTGAACTAAAGGGCAGTTTGGTTAAAACTGAAAAACATTTTGAAATTAAGAAGGTCGATTGTTCACAGAAAACCCCAGAAGTAAATAAGAATGTAGTCAATGTAATCTATTTTTCTCTGTTCTTTTTTTGAAAACAAACACCAGAGAGTAAAACTGAGAGACAGAAGCACACAGTGAGCAAAGAAGTTTAACAGAAAAGGTTCAGTCACTCTGAAGACTCTGAGACTGAGAGAGAAGTTAGAGGGTAGTCGGTGAGCAATAAAATTATCTGGTTGGAGACAGGCGAGAGGAGTGGAGTGTTTCAATGGGTCTTCTCTTTATCCTTTAACAAATTAGTCAAAGATGAACGTTCAATTTACACGATATTCTAAACTATTTTATAAATGATGTAAAAATAATATTTTGTACCAATTTGTTAGAAAATTTGATGAGTCTCGAACGAATTAAATAATACATAAAAATTAATTGTCAATGCATAAATTTAGACACTTATTAAAATTTATAGATACATAAATATGAATAAATTCATTTATAATAATTCTAAATTCACGTGATTCAAGATTCATCAAATGAAAATTCATTGAATTTAGATTAACATGAATGTTAACTAATTGAGAATTAATAAGACAAATATCATAAATGACATAATTATATAGCATTTATTACATATCGAAAAATGAAAAGTAAGATATTACTGAAATAATTGAACTGTAAGCGTTTAAAATCGTCCCAGAAATGATTCTCCCTTGATGTGATAGATTAATATATTATAGATTAAATTTGTTGCTATAGTAACATTTTCAATTACACATACACACAATAAATATTCTACACACAAATCAATAAAATTTCTTTAAATTTTCACCGTATATTTTTCAAAAAATACTATTCAAAAATCTTTAAATTATACCATAATGGGAGACAAGCAAACTCTAAAAATTGAGTGTTTTGCAAACTTCAAGAAAGGATTATCACTCCATAAGTATTCTTGGTTCCCCCAACCCCGACCCACGTCAATCACCCTAGAAAGACTCACTGACTTCTTGGTTTTACAACTTAGACCATGTTTGATTACATCCCAATTCCGTGGAAAATGAAAATAAAATTTCATCTTTTGAATTTTTTGTTGTTTGATTGGCAAAATTTTCTCTAGAATTCGAATTCAACCTTTTATGCCATCTAAGCTAATTTTCATGTTTTCCTTGAATTCCAATTATCATCAAAATGTTGAGAATTGGAATTCTCGGTTACTGTAACACTTTTTTCAATTTTTTTTTTTTATAATGGAAACAAATTCTAAGAATTATTGTAAAAAAATATTTCTCTTTAAATGATAATTTTCATGTAAAACAAAGTCAAATGAACACCAAAAGATAAATGATTTTCTTGAAATTTTTTTTTGTTGACAATAAAAACAAATTTCATCCCAAATACCAATAAAACCTATCATTTTAATTGACAATTTTTATATAAAACAAAGTCAAATGAAGATCAAAAATCATTTTTATTTCAACATTTTCCACATGAAAAATTATTCCAACCAAATACAATAATTTACAATTATCAGGAAAACAATTTCTAGGTAATTCAATCACCTGAAATTCGTTTTCAATTCAATTCAATTCCATCTTTACAATCAAACGGACCCTTAAATTAATATTGAGATCTCGTAATTTAAATAGACGATATTATCATGTTTTCCGTGATCATAAAACCCGTGAAATAATGCTACATAGCACTAATGGGACTAAGTCCCTGTTTGGTAGTATTTTTTTAGTTCAAAAAATTAATTTTTTGATCGTTATTTCATTATTTCAATTATTATTTTTTATTTCTTCACTCACAAGTAACCACCACTTTTCTTCCTAATGATAAAAAAATCAATTCTTATAATCCCTAACAAACTGGCCCTAACTATCATTGCTCGTCTCGACCAAGTATTTCATCCTGAGTTTGGCTGTTTGGGCAACTTGAGGTGAGTTGGGTTGGGTGGGGGTAACGTACGGGGTGTAACGTTAACAGTAAAATGGTCAGATTTGTTGAATTTTTAAACATTCAATACCACAAGTGTATTCTTGTCAGATTTCTTCAACAGAAATAGCCAGTAAATTATTCCTGCAGATTTTGGCAATTGGGGCATTATATTATCAAAATTAAAAACCTTATATCTGTGTTCTGTTATCTGTCAAGGGATAAACAAAATCTAAATGTCTATGGATTATAGTCTCATTTCAAAATCTGGATTCGTTGAGATTGAGGTGAAAATATCAGAGGAAAAAAAATAAATAAATTCTTTCCACCATATTATAAGATTTGCCTATACAGAGCATATTACATTGTAATTTATTTTATTTTTGGAAGAGTAAATTTTACAGGGATGATCTTGAATTAAATGCATCATTATCCGATTATTATTGTAATTAAAATTGATTTCCTCCCATGCAACCGTATGTTACGTTTAATTGACTTTATTTTTCACGAAAAATATTCTTTTTTCACTGAAACTCTTACTTTTGGTATACTTAATAGACATTTTTTTCATGCAAAATATTTTTTAAAAGTTGGTCATGTGACCATATTTTTCTGAAAAACAAGAAAAATATTTTTTTAGAAATGATATATTTTTATTTTCCAAACAATTCAATCGCTATCTCTACTTAACAATAGAAGATGGATAAATGTAAAATTTCTTCATCTTGAATTATAATGATAATGAATAATATCATTTCAGTATGAAAAGAGATTTAGAACAAATTAAGTACAATCATGATCGATAAATAATAATTAGGAAACACAACAACATTGATATCTAGCTCCTATTTATTTCTCATTTTTTTTAAAAAAAAATGCATTTTAAAATAGTTAATTGGTGAAGAATGTGAGGTCAAGAATTAAGAAAAAGGTTTTTAATTTTGCTTGTAATATTATTTTATTAAAAAATGTGTGATTGAAAAGAAAAGACAAAAATATATTTTGAGAAAAATGAGTATCAAACAAAAGTCTAATAATTGTATCTATTAATGTATAAATAGGCTAATTTATTATTATTTTTTTTAAATGTAATAGTAACTTACATATCGTGATCGGTCTTAAAATATGTGTTTCTGATCAATTCTATGTATGTGCATAGTAGTTAGTGGTGGATCGAACACTAAGCGAACACCAGCGACGGTACATGTTGGATCTTTTCCGGAACAGATTTTTTCTTTTTCTTTTAAACAGAAGATAAAAGTATTGGACTATATATTTGGTAATTCATTTTATTTTCAGACATCTCTTGCAACTTAGTTAGTTAGAGCTTCTACATGCAAATTAGAGGTCAAGATAGACGGAGGACTTCACGAACTGAACAAAATGAGAAATGAAGGTATGCGACAAAATTAATAGTTCAACCTATCGAGCCAAACACGCCCTTAACTAAGAACATAGATTAAGGTAAAGAAACAACCTTTCTAGACTTGTTTTCTCTAAGTTTGCAACCTTCTTTTGTGAGCTACAAGTGTTGTCTTCCTTAAAAGCCTAAACCATGATGTGAAACTTGCTCGTGCCTTTGTCTATTTGTGTGTGTTTTTCTTTTCCTTTTTCATTTTTTTGATCTGCGATTTTTTCTTTTTCTTTTTCTTTTT